CTAGCCTTCCTTTCCTTACTCGTTAATCAATAAACTAGTCGTATTATCAACTAATTCACATCATACTTTCTTATCGTTTCTTATTTAACGTCAATAGAGTAAGTTCTTGCAACCACGTTCTTGTTTGCATAAGTAATCATCAAAACTAGAATCAATTCTAAGTCCGTTAACACACATCCACGGGGGGGTTGATACTCACGTACACAGCCGAGATACCATACAAACAAACACACGAGGACGAAGCGTTTACTACTAAAACCAACACACAACAACACAACCAAACTAACAACACACTACAACACCACCACATGTCTTTGAACTGTATATTGTGGCTGATGACTCACACCATCTACATTGTTTTTATAGGAAACCCAAACTTCTCTATTTATATGTAAACCACCATACACAACAACACACCCACAACACCAGAAACACACACACTACTACACCCAACAACCACACGACAAACACACAAGCACTCACAACCACAACACACCACACATACACACACGAACTACACACACGACTACACACACATCATACCCACACAACATTTTTATTAAACAAAAGTTTTAAACACACGAACACACCGGCGCAACACCTCACCCACAACAAAACTAACCAACAACACCAGCATCCAGAACCCCAAGCCCAAGCTGGATCATACGACTACCCACACCGAATACAACCAACAGTTCAAGACGAAGAAAAAAGTTCATCGATTGCTTCTGCCGCCACAGAGCCGAAGCATTTCACTGAATCCTTGTCAAGGATGAGCTTATTGAACCAGAGCTGAATGGGATGACTTTTCTGCCGACTTACCTGACATTCCAGAGGAAGACTGGGATATAGAGGGCGCCTTACTACCACCCTCTGTTGCGGTTGCCACATGTGATGCTGTTGCAGAGCCAGACAATCCAGATACAACAAGTGATGCACCTGACTTTAGTCATTTACTGAGGAGAGCAGCAACAAGAACTTAACCAGCTGTTGGAGCAGTTCCAGGAACTTTTTGACGGTGGAGAAGAGACTGTTGGCCACATACCTGGGATCCGCCATCAGATCGACACTGGGGATGCTAAGCCAGTTTGTGTCCGTCAATGGAGGTTGCCGCAGTCTACTAAGGAGACCATCAGACAGCAATGTGACTCCATGTTACAATCAGGTGTCATTGAGCCTTCATGTAGCCCTTGGTTGAGTCCAGTAGTCTTAGTTAAGAAGAAGGATGGCAGTCTCCGTTTTTGTGTCGACTATCGGGCCTGAATGCAGTTACCAAGAAAGACACTACCCACTCCGAGGATTGATGCTCTCATCGATGAACTGGGTCCCACTGACACATTCACCACACTGGATGCCCGTGCAGCCTATTGGGCAGTTGAGGTGGAACCCTCCGATAGGCCCAAGACTGCCTTCTCTGATGGCTACCGGCTGTTCCACTTCTGCCGCCTTCCCTTCGGTCTCTCAACCGCACCAACCACCTTTCAACGCACTATGAACGTCCTCCTTTCTCCTGTTCTAGGTAAGCACACCCTGTGCTACCTAGATGACATTGTTATCTATAGCCGTGGGTTCCGCCAGCATCTACAAGACCTGGAAGAAACGTTACAGCTTCTTTTAGCCGCTGGTCTAAAGCTGAACATGGCAAAATGCCACTTTGCTGCTACCACGATAGACTTCTTGGGATTCACTATCAGCCCAGAAGGAGTTCTTCCCAACCAGGATAAGGTGGTTGCTATCGCTAAAACTCCAGCACCACGTAATGTTCGAGAGGTACGCCGCTTCCTAGGGTGTACTGGGTTCTTCAGGAAGCACATCCCTGGTTATGCAACCATTTCTTCACCTCTGCACTTGCTGCTTAAGAAGAATCAGAAATGGTTTTGGGGAGCTGATCAACAGAAGGCATTTCAGGAGCTAAAGGACCGCCTTACCACCGCACCAGTTCTTCGCCAGCCAGATTTTAGTCGGGAGTTTGAGCTGCACACAGACGCTTCTTCCATTGCAATTGGTTCCTGCCTGATGCAAAGGTCGGATGACAGCACTCCCCATGCTATTGCCTATTTCAGCTGCTGAATCCAGATATCCTGCCATTGACTTGGAAGCCCTCAGTGTGGTTGAAGGAGTCAGGATCTTCGACTCTTACCTCTATGGACGGCACTTCACCATTTATACCGACCACAGGCCTTTGGTACATGTCTTTTCTCGGAAAACCAAATCTCCACGAATGACACGCTATGCTCACGATCTCTCGTTCTACCACTTCAACATTCGATACAAAGAGGGGCCCACCAACTATGTTCCAGACCTGCTTTCAAGACATGTTGCTATACTGGAGGATGCACCCAGCTACCAAGTTGCCGGACTTGCCATCACAGAGCTGTCTCCTGAGGTCCTTGCGCAGAAGCAGATGGATGATCCTCATCTTGCTGATCTTCGCCATTATCTACTTGATGGTACAGTTCCAAAGAAAAAGTGGCCACTTCCTTTGGATGAATTCGAGGTCAAGGAAGGTGTTTTGTACAGGCTGAGACATCTTCCGGACCGAATTTGTTACCAGCTTGTTGTACCTGTATCACTGAAGAACTCTGCACTGAAGGCATCCCATTTACCACCTCTTGCTTCTCACCCTGGTGTTCAGCGGACCTATGACAATGCTAGGTCAATGTTCTACTGGACCAACATGCTGAAGGACTGTAGGGAGTATGTGGACAACTGTTCTGTGTGTCAGCAGTCAAGAGGTAGCCCCCAAAGAGTGCCTATGGGAGAGACTCCCTTGGCCCAGTATCCT